CCTGTCCCTAATGCTGGCTGTGCCTGCAGGACAACTGCCGCCTGACGCCCAATTCTGGGCAGGAGGACGCTGACAACGACGGCATCGGGGACCAATGTGATGACGATGCTGATGGTGATGGTGTCAAGAATGTGGAGGTGGCTGTGCTGGACGAGTGGCCGTGGCAGTGGCTTTAGGAGGGCTTCTTGTTTTGGCTTGGTTCTGGGTCCCTCAAGATGCTTCTCCTGGGGAGCAGCAGGCTGGTGGCTTGGGAGTGGGCTCAGGGTGCTGGAGATGTCTGCCCTGACCACTGTGGCTGCCCACCACCACAGTGCCAACATCCCCCTCCTCTTCTCCACAGGACAACTGCCGGCTCTTCCCCAACAAGGACCAGCAGAACTCGGACACCGACTCCTTTGGGGATGCCTGTGACAACTGCCCCAACGTGCCCAACAACGACCAGCGGGACACGGACAGCAACGGCGAGGGGGATGCTTGTGACAATGACATCGATGGGGACGGTGAGCCGCTCGTGGGTTGGCCTGGCCGTGCCAGGGGGGCTGTCCCACCAGCGTGGGGGAGGGTACTCACTCAGCACTATCCTTGCAGGGATACCAAACATGCTGGACAACTGCCCCAAGGTGCCCAACCCTCTGCAGACCGATCGGGACGAGGACGGTGTTGGGGATGCCTGTGACAGTTGCCCTGAAATGAGCAACCCCACTCAGGTATGGCTGGGCCTGGGGGCCTGGGGTGATTGGGGCCTGGCCCAGAGGGGAGCAGGGGCTCCTCCTCCTCGGCCCAGGATGTGCACTGAACTAGGGCTTCGCTCTCCTCCAGACAGATATGGACAGTGACCTGGTAGGAGACATCTGTGACACCAACGAGGACAGGTGTGGATAGCACTGCAGTGGGGTGACCTCCCAGTTGTGTCCTGGGCGGCAGAACTGGGCTCCTGGTTCAGGGACCAGCCAGGAGGGACAATGGGGTCTTCGGGGAGATCCCCATTTTTGTCATTGCTCTGACCTCGTTCTTGCCCCCAGTGATGGGGATGGGCATCAGGACACCAAGGACAACTGCGCTGAGATCCCCAACAGCTCCCAGCTGGACTCGGACAACGACGGGCTAGGGGATGACTGTGACAACGACGATGACAATGATGGCATCCCGGACTACGTGGCACCTGGCCCAGACAACTGCCGCCTCATTCCCAATCCCAACCAGAAAGACTCAGACGGTGAGCATGGCGTGGGCAGGGGGAGGCAGGGCTGCCTGGGCTCAGCCCAGCCCTGACTGAGCCCCTGTCCCCAGGGAACGGCGTGGGTGATGTCTGCGAGGAGGACTTTGACAACGACACGGTGGTGGACCAGCTGGACGTGTGCCCCGAGAGCGCCGAGGTGACGCTGACCGACTTCCGCGCCTACCAGACCGTCATCCTCGACCCCGAGGGGGACGCCCAGATCGACCCCAACTGGGTTGTGCTCAACCAGGTGTGGGTGCTGCGCCCCGTGTTTCTGGGGGCCGCGCTGCAGGGTGGCAGCTCAGGGGACTGGGAGGTCCCCAGGGGTGCTGGGGTGCCCCTCACCCAGCTGTCCCCCCGCAGGGCATGGAGATCGTGCAGACCATGAACAGTGACCCGGGCTTGGCTGTGGGTAAGATCTGTTCACCCACCCACAGGCTCTGGGGGCAGAACCAGAGACTCCCCCACTGTGCAGGGGGTTCTTTGCCCCACAGATGAGGGGTGAAGGGTGGGTGGGCTGGGAATCCCGTGGGGAGAGAGGGCTCCCCGCAGCGTTTCCTGCCCGTAGGTTACACAGCCTTCAACGGGGTGGACTTTGAGGGCACTTTCCACGTCAACACCATCACCGACGATGACTACGCCGGCTTCATCTTCAGCTACCAGGACAGCGCCAGCTTCTACGTGGTGATGTGGAAGCAGACGGAGCAGACTTACTGGCAGGCCACCCCTTTCCGTGCTGTGGCCGAGCCGGGGCTGCAGCTCAAGGTGGGTGGTGGCCCCACCCACGGGCCGGGTCAGGCCCCCCTGTTCAGGCCCCCCTGACGCCCCCATGCACCTGCAGGCAGTGAAATCCTCGACGGGCCCCGGGGAGCACCTGCGCAATGCTCTGTGGCACACGGGCCACACGCCCGACCACGTCCGCCTGCTCTGGAAGGACCCCCGGAACGTGGGCTGGAGGGACAAGACGTCCTACCGCTGGCAGCTGGCACACAGGCCCCAGGTGGGCTACATCAGGTAAGCAGGGGGGGCCCGGGGGGCGCTGGGGTGGGGGCTGTGCTCACCACGGGCACCCCAGTGGGACACAGCAGAGGGGGGATGCCGGGCACTGGGGAGAAACCTGGAGCGAGCCAGCCCTGATGATAACCACGAGTACGGGTCGTGCCCTGCGGATCCCCCTCGGGGGTGGGAGGATGTGCGTGAGGAGGGGTTGTGCCTCCTGGGACCCCCCTGGTGAGGGGATCCAGCCCGGTGGGACCACCGCAGTGTGGGGATGCCGGGCGTGGGGGAGCATCCAGCCCCGTGAGACCACCGCAGTGGGGGGATTTGGGCCGTGGGGAGGGTGCCTGCCCGGTGGGGCCGCAGCCGCCTTTCTCCTTTAAGGCTCCCGCCGGGGCGGCCGCGGCGGGGGGGCTCCGCCGCCGGGCCCTCCGCCCCCCGGGCCCCCGGGGCCATTGTCCCGTCGCCATGGCGACCCCGCCGGCGCCTTTCACATGCAAAGCGCCCGACAAAGGCGGCGGGGCCGGGCCGGGGGCGGCGCGGGGGGCTCCAGCCCGGCCACGGCGGGGGGCCCCGGCCCGAGGATCCAGCCGGTCCGGTGCCCCCGGCCCAGTCTCCCGCAGGATGCCCCGGCTCCAGCCCGGTGCACCGTTCCCGGGTCGGGATACCCGGTGCCCGGTGCTGGTCGTGGAGGGGTCCCAGTGGGGTCCAGGTGCTGGCCCCGATGGCGGCTCAGTAGGATCCCGATGTTTGCCCCGGTGGGGGCCCGGTGGAATCCCGGAGCTGGCCCCGGCGGGGTCCCGGTGAGGGCCCGCTGACCGCTCGGGCCCCGTTCCCCGGCAGGGTCCGTCTGTACGAGGGCCCGCAGCTGGTGGCCGACTCCGGTGTGATCATCGACACCACGATGCGCGGGGGCCGGCTGGGGGTCTTCTGCTTCTCCCAGGAGAACATCATCTGGTCCAACCTGCAGTACCGCTGCAACGGTGAGCAGGCCCCCCGGGACCCCCGAACCGGCCGAGCATCCCCTCCCTCCCTGGCCGCTGCGGCGGGCTCAGTCCTGGGCCGGGGGCTTTGTGGGGGCTCGCTCCCCTCGCCGGCTCCTGACGCCCCCCGCGCTGCTCCCCACAGACACCATCCCTGCCGACTTCGAGCCCTTCCGCCGGTTCCTGCTGGAGGGACGCGAGTGACCGCGCCCGGCACGGGCCTCCCCCGCCGGCGGCACCGGCGGCGCTCCGGGCTCCCGCCACCGGCGGCACCCGGGGGCGCACCGGGCCCCGCCGCTCCTCCCGGCCGGGCCCCGTTCCCGGCCCCCCGCGGACTTTGCACTGCCAGTACCGGGGCCCCGCAGTGCCGGGGCTCCCGCCACGCCTGCCCCGGGCGCTCCGGTCCTTGCCCCACGCCTGGCCATAAAGTTTTGAGTGTTTTCTACCCTGCGCGCCCGGTCCCTGCGGGTTCCCGCTGGCCCGAGAGGGCCGTGGGTCCCCGCCGCGCTCTCGGCTCCGTCCCGCGCCGTTCTCCCGGTGCTCGCGGGGTCGGGGCAGCGCCCGGCCGGTCCCACAGGCGCAGCCCGCGGCGGCGGGAGGCCGGGACGAGTGCAATATTGGTGGGCGAGAGTACAACACTGCACCGCATCCCGGCCCTCCCGCCGCCCCGGAGGGAGCGGAGCCGCCGCCGCCGCCGCCCGGGCCGCTCCGTGGGAACTGCGCGGCGCGCACCGCGGCTCGGCGGCAGGCACCAGGT